TTTACAGTGGCATCTGGTGATCTTTGCTTTGTGAATAAAATTTGTCTTTTAGGAAATGTGGGATTGACAAACTAGAAAGAAAAATATTGGAGTCAGAGTAAAAAGACTGACACCTTTAAGGATGTAAATTCAATGTTTAAAACTTCTTTCTAGAGCACCTCGAAGTTGCTTGCATAAATCCTGTTTCTCAAAAGTTTCTGCCTCTCGGTACTTCTGTGACAACAGCAAGGCAGTGGGTGACGTGGCTAACTCCTCAGCTGCTTCCGCAGGCTCCCAGATGGCTGCTTTCAGGATGGTTTCCATAGTGACCAAAGGCAGGAAAAACCTGCCTGCCCAGCTTAGCAGTATCACATCCTGCTGCTGTTGGGAACTCAGAGACTCAAGGCAATTGATGGGAGATATGACATATATATTATTGCAGAGACTCCTTAAAACATATCCAGAATCTGATCATTTCTCACTGGTCCCACTGTAGCAAAGCCAACATAATTCCTGCCCCTACTGCCTTGCTGTCTCCGCACCACAGCTAGAGAGAGCTTTTAAAATCAGTCGGAGTTGGGTTTACCTCTGCTCAGAACCCTTCTATAATGTCCCAACTCACTGAGGATGAGATCCAAAGTCTGTGCCTCACTCTCCAGCCCTCCATGACGCCTGCTACATCTCCCACCGTGTCTCCCCCTCTTCTCTCATCCCCAGCCCACTTGTTGCTTCTCCATCCTGCCAAGTATGTTCCTGCCTTGGAGGCTTTGCACTTGCTGTTCCTTCTGCCTGGGTCCCCTTTCCCTCCAATAGTCATGTGACTTGATCCCTCACTTCCTTTTGCTTTGGTCTTTGCTCCGATGTCATCTCATACCCAAAGAGCTCTTCCTGGCCATTTTATATATATAGCCCCTCTCTTCTGATACACTCTATACCTTTCCCTTGCTTAATTTTCCTCATAGTACTGCAGTGGTCATGATCTGACACAACTATTTTTATGTTCATTGTTTGATTAATGTAATGGCCAGGACTTTTGTTTCCCACTGTTTCATCTCAGCCATGAGGATTGCACCTTGCTCTTGGCAGTGCTCTGTAACTGTGGAGTGAATGAATGGGTGGGAGGCAAGCTAAGATCAGGAAGGGGAGCTGCTTGGAGAGAATTGTCTTCCCAGCCCCTAGGTCCTCCACAACCAGAGACAGCTCATTTCCTCCACTGCAAGCAACATCTGCTTCCTTCACACTTTCTCTGCCCTTCCAGAAGAAACAATCAAATCACTACCTTAGGGGTGTCAGTGATGAGTCTCATGATCTCAGCTGGCATATATTACATTGAACCATATGAAATTGTCACTTTTTAGGTTGTAATGGATGAATATCAGCAATATCATGCAGCTTTTACTCTACCTCAGTGTAGAAGGCCCAGATACTAGCAATAACTTCCTAGAAATTATTAGTACTACTACTAATTGCTGGATGCTTACTGAGTACTTGGTATGTTTCAGACAGTGTGCTAAGGGTCTAAATTGGCATTCTCACTTAATCCTCATAACCACTGTGAGATACAGGTATTGTTCCTCTATTTTATGGATAAGAAAACTAAAGATTTAAAGAGGCAAAGTGAACTTGCCCAAGGTTATATAACAAGCAGGGAACAGCAGAGCTGGGATTTGAATCCACATCTGTCTGCTTGGAGATGTCTTCACTTTAACTGTAGCGCTATCTGGTCTCTGTGCGAAGGCAGTGCAGAGGGTAAGCTGTCCCCTCCTAAGGCTAGTGTCACAGCCATATGCATAGCAGAGCACTGGATTATTTCCCAGTGCTGTCTAGCTAGTGGCCCTGTGCTGTCATTTCATGTCGCAGGATGGGGAGCAGTACCATATTGTGAGAGGGCACAGTTATTGGAATGTATTTGGAAAACTGATTGTGGGTCTCTTCTGGGTTTATTTTCTTGTGTATAAGGAATAGAGATATCTACTTCAAAATGTGGGGATTGAGGGATGTGATTTTAAAACCTTCCAGCTCAATCCCTTTAATATAAAAATATGTAATGCTCCATCCAGCACAAAATTCTGATTCAGCCCAGCCAGTGTGGCTCAGTGGTTGAGCATAGACCTATGATCCAGGAGATTGCGGTTCAGTTCCGGTTCAGGGCACATGCCCAGGTTGAAAGCTCGATTCCTGGTGGGGAGTGTACATGAGGCAGCCGATCAATGACTCTCTCATCATTGGTGTTTCTATCCCTCTCTCTTCCTCTTTCTGAAATCAGTAAAGATATATATATTTTTTAATTTTGATTTAAATCACTCCCCACATACCTGTTATACTGAGGGAAGACATTTTCATTGTTATCCTCACACAACCCAGACCTTTCAGGGAAGTGGGTTCTGCAATCTGGTTCTCAGCAGGATTTGTCTGGAAGCAGGAGGGAGCAGCTCTTCCAGTTGGGTACCAAAGTCTCCACGGTGGTCATTTAACCCAGACTTGGCATGGTCAAGGTGTGTCTGGGGGCAGACATAGAGGTTTATGACCCAGCTAAGCTGCCCTTAGGAGCTATAAGATGACTCTTTTGCTCCCAAATTTGCAAGTATGTCTAAAGAGAACTGGGATTTTTCAGGTGCCGATTTTTCAACATATGCTTGAGTAACGGGACCCCATGGCGATGTGTTCTCCCAGCTCCCTTGAAGTGGTTGTTTGATTCTTCTTTTTTTTTCCTTTCTCACTCACCGGACCCTCCTAGTTAACCCAGCATCCCCAGCAACACCAGAATTCTTTAGCAGGTGGCATAGAGAAGACTGTCGGTCTGCTTTGGCCCAGAATAACAGCTGGCACCTCTAATTCCCCATCACCTGAAAAATGGCAAAAGGAGGGGTTTTTTTAGGATTAGGTAAATATGATTTCAAAAACGAGAAGGCAGCTCGTCCTAAATATTTCAACCACATCTCCTGTTTACCTCACATTTATTTCATAGAGTCAGGTCTTTTTATTATTTGGTTAGAAATATAAGGCTTAATAATCAGAAAAAGTCTGAAGAAGCTACCCTACAACTGAATTTCTGTTGAAGCTCAAGTGAGTGATAATAGATTCTTCTGGTTCTAACAGAAGCTGGTTAGAAATGGTAAGTTAGAAAGTTAGAGGAAGCCCCTTATTGCTGGCTTTTTCTTATTTTTTTGAGATATAATACACATACTATAAAATTTACCATTTTAAGGTGTACATTTCAGTGGTTTCAGTATTTCATACTGTTGTGCAACTATCACCACTGTGCAATTCCAGAACGTTTTTTTAAAATCCTCATCTGAGGATATGTTTTCACTGATTTTAGAGAGGGAGGGATGAGAGAGAAACATCAATTGGCTGCCCTCCCATACATGCCCTGGCTGGGATCAAACCTTCAGCCTTTTGGCATATGGGATGATACTCCAACCAACCAAGCCACCTGGCCAGGGCCCAGAACATTTTTCATCTCTTCAAAGAGAAACTCCCATACCCATTAGCAGTTAGCCTGCATTCTCCTCTCCCCCAGCCCTTGCCTGTCACTAATCTACTTTCTCTCGTGGATTTGCCTCTTCCAGACACTTCATTTTAATAGAATAATATGATATTCATCCTCTTGTGACTAGTTTTTTTCACTGAGCATACGTTTTAAAGGTTCATCTGTGTTAGAGCATCTGTGTTCAGCTCTTCATTCCTTTTTACAGCTGAATATTTTATTATACGGATATTCCATGCATTTTTGTATATCCATTTATTAGTTGTTAGACATCTGGGTTGTTTCTACTTCTGGGTTGTAATGAATAATGCAGCTATGAACATCCATGGAAAAGTTTTTGCTTGGACACGTGCTTCCATTTCTTTTGGGTGAACAACCACGAGTAGAATTCCTGGGTAATGGAACCTTTTGAGGAATGGCCAAACTGTTTGCCACAGCAGCTACACCATTTTACATTCTCACCAGTAATGTTCCTCCAGTTTCTCCACAGCCTCACCAGCACATGTCATTGTCTTTTTTATTCTAGCCACCCTAGTGGGTGTGAAATGGTGTCTCATGGTGGTTTGGATTTGCATTTCCCTGATGACTAAGCATTTTTTACCTGCTCATTGGCTGTTCACATCTCTTTTTTGGAGAAATGTATATTCAGATCTTTTGCCCATTTTCTAAATTAGGCTATTTGTCTTTTTATTGTTGAGTCCTTGTTTTTTTAATACTTTTAAAATTAATTTGAGAGAGAGAGAAGGGGGGAGAGAGAAAGAGAAACGTCGATTTGCTCCAGTTATTTATGCATTCTTCACTGGTTGATTCTTGTATGTGCCCTGACCGAGGATTGAACCCCTAATTTGAGTGTATGGAGACGATGCTGTAACCAACTGACCCACTCAGCCAGGGCAAATCTTATTTTTTTAAGTGGACAAAAAAGTGAGGGGAGGGAAGCAGGGGTTTAAGCAGTGACAGGAGAGATCTGAATTAGATTGCAGTTTCCTAGTTTCCCAGCTGTGAAGTTAGTGAAAGATGTGGCAGAGCACACTGTTGGAGGAGGTGAAATATGTCAGTGTCGGCGTTGACTCAGAAGTTCAGTTGTATTCTATCTAAAGGATTCCTCAAATATGCTTGCTCAGGGAAATCTATTCACAGAGGTTTTGGTGGTGGCTGGGTTTTATTATTTGTCTGAGCATGGGGCATCAGGAAGTCTGTATGTGTGATTCTCTCCTTCCTTAATATGGGGACTGAACGGACACTCCCCTTGGCTCACAGAGCTGTTGCGAACATTGGTTTGCAGCTTCTTCAGAGTGTGTCCTCTCTCAGGTGAAATGTTCAGAAAAGGAGTTTTCAAGTGTCATTTTTCCTTCCTTTGTTGAACAGTGGCCAGAACTTTCCTCCCCACCGCCTCTGGGCCAGCAAAGTCAGACTGGTGAGTGGAAAGGACTCCCAGGAGGGGCTGCCTCAGGATGACTTTCCCCTTTGCTTTCCTGCCAGGGCAGATGTTTCTGGACCAGATGAAGCCTGAGAAGCCTTCCAGCTGTAAGATACTAGGATAGAAAAACTTCTAAGTCTGGATCTGCATAAGCCTTGCCTCATCTCTCCACAATGTCAGGTGGGAGCCGGGGCCCTGGGTTTGGAAGTGGGGTGAGACTGCAGAGTGAAGGCACGCTCTTACTCAGGAGGACCCACCCAGGGGGGTGAATGGACTTGTTTTTCACATAGTTTTGAGGGTCAGGACCATGGAGTAGGAGGTGGGGAAGAGGAGCCTCCTAACGGGCTGTCTGGGAGAGCTGCAGCTCAGCTCGGCTCTCCAGTTTGCCTGCTGCCTCTCTCTTCCCTCCTTCCAGCTGTGAAGTCTCACTCTTAGAGGAGGGACAGGCAAGGAGATGGAGTTTGGTGGTATTTTTAATGTGCTGTTTTTTTTCTTTTCCTTCCTCCAGAAATTTGTACATTCCTGGGTTTCTTCCTCTCCCTACCTGTCTCACTTTAGATGCTGCAGTCAGTCCCTTTATGCTGGAGCTCTTGAGGGGTAGGGGTGGGGGTGGATATCTCAACTTGAATTTTCCCTGTGTGCTCTGCATTGTCCTCACCTCCTATTCCTGGTTTTCCTTGATTTCAGGAAGCCACATACCTTCTGCTTCTGGTCCCTTCTCAGCCCTGACTCCGAGCATGTGGCCCCAGGAGATCCTAGCCAAGTACACACAGGTATAGCAGTGATAGTAGCTAGGCACCGGTGGCTGTGCTCCCAAGTTGTGCTGAGGGGACCTGCCACTGCAAGCTCCCAGTGGGTGGCCACACCACCCTGTTCACACAGGGTCAGAGGCCACCATCAGAGATGACATCTTAGCTCTGTGTCCTCTGTGAATCAGTAATTAGGTTGAAGTATTATGGCACTAGGCGCTCAATATTATGGGGACACAAATGCATAAAATGTGTGATCTTATTTCGTTTGACCTGTGGGGAAAACAAAGAAAATGCCAGGAGAATTCGAGAAGGTGCTGGTCCCTGTAGCTGAGTGATGAACACAGAGGCTTCAGAGGAACGGTGGCCTTTGATCTAAGTCTTGAGGGCTGGGTGGAATTTCAGCAGGCAGTATCTGGGTGGCATCTTCCAGAACCAGTGGTCCTAGACTATAGGCTACATGACTGATTCTTCCTAATCCTGGTTCTAGAAGGAGGAGTCAGTGGAGCAACCAGAGTTCTACTATGATGAGTTCGGTTTCCGGGTGGACAAGGAAGGTGAGATTGGGCCCCTTGTGTGTAATCTTGCATGTGTTCTTGGGAAAGACTCCAGCTCCGGTGACCCTCATTATGCAGTTGACCCACGCAGTTTAGTAGACCTGCGCCATTCAAACACAGGTGGTTCAGGGGTCAACTGGCAGTTGGCAATCTGTGTATTCAGAGAGCCAACCTAAGTTATACTCGATTTTTGACCACGAGCCAGATGGTGCCCCAACCCCTGCGTTGTTTCAGGTCAGCTGTGTATGGAGATCTGTGATTATTTTTAGATTAATTTTATTAATCTTCATATGATAATAAAAGCAATGTTCTTTGTGGAGAAATTGAAAATACAGGAAAGTATAAAGATTGAAACAAATTAACCTACAATCCCACAACCTGAAGATACCTGTTAACATTTTAGTGTATCCTCCTCTGGCTTTGTGTTTATTATCAGTATATATTTATCATGTACATGTACATGTTTTGTTTTTATTTTACCCTAAAAATTTTTTTCATTTTTCAATTACAATGGATATTCAGTATTGTATTAGTTTCATGTGTACAGCATAGTGGTGGTTAAATATTTATGTAGCTTATGAAGTGATCACTGCAATAAGTCTAGTATCCACCTGGTACTGTACATAGGTATTACAATATTATTGACTGTATTCCCTGTGCTGTACTCTATATCCCCATGACTATTCTGTAACTGCCAATTTGTACTACTTTTCTTTTTTTTTAAAAAAATACTGGGGTGACATTGGTTAATAAGATTATATACATTTTGCCCTGGCTGTGCTCAATGGTTATAGAGCATCGACCCGTAAACCCAGTCAAGGGCACGTTCCTGGGTTGCATGTTCAGTCCCTGGCTCCAGCCAGGGCGCATGCAGGAGGCAGCCAATCCATGTGTCTCTCTCTCGTGGATGTTTCTCTCTCCCTCTTCTTTCCTCCCTTCCACCACTCTCTGTAAAAATCAATGGAAAAAATATCCTCAGGTGAGGGTTAACACAAAAAAATTCTATAGGTTTCAAGTGTACATTCCTTTGATACATGATCTGTATATTGCATTGTGTGCCCACCACCCAAAGTCAAATCATCTTCCATCACCATATATTTGGCCCCTTTTACCTTTTACTACCCACCCCCCACTGCCCTCATATACATGTTTGTAGGTTCTTTAAAATATGTCTTCATATATGTGCCCTGACCAGGAATCAAACTGGCAACCTCCCGGTGCATGGGACGACTCTCAACCAAGTGAGCCACACTAGCCAGGCTGCATGTTTTTATATTGTTCTTATATCAACATTATACCATGAGCATTTTTTTCTGTCAGTTAAGATCTCTTTAAAAGCATATTTTTCAGTGGCTGCATACATTATAGTGGGTTTATCATAATGTTTTTATGACCATGCTTCTGTAAGTGGGCTGTAGCCATTTCCATTATTTTCTACTATAAATACACCTGTTGGTTCCCCAGTGGGCTATTGGGAAAGCCATTTTCCAGAGCCCAGGATGGTCTGTCACCAGGATATAACTGTGACTAGAAGATTTTAATTGGTTGAAACCAGTCATTTTCAGGTCATTCATATTTCCAATTCTGCCATAAGTTGTCCTTGTTCTCTAGTTTGCAGGCAGATATTTGGAAGTGAAAGCTGGGCCTGAGAGGAATTCAGGGAACTTTCTAATATGATGGAAATAGTCTCTATCTCAATGGGGACAGTGTGTTTAAACATTTGTTTATTGATACTCACCAAATTGTACACTTAAAATTAGTGCATTTTTCTACATGTAAATTCACTAAAGATGAAGTTTTAGAAAGTTGAGGCTGAGGTTGTGGCGTTAGGATGAGTGAGGACGAGGCTCACTGTGGGGCTACCTCACACCAAGACTGGCAGGGGGCTATGAAAGCCTCCTCCACGTTGACGTGAGCATTTCAGGATGCCGACTGTTGTCCAGTCTTCACTGCTGCGTCCCCAGTGCCTTGAACAGAACCGAAGGTGGTCCCAGCCTCATGGAGTTCCCCAGCAATAAACAAACAACTATATCATATGCTGGGGCAAGAAGAGCTATGAAAAAATTTGGGAACTAGAGAGGAGGGGAGGTGGATTGTATATAGGGTGGTGAAGGAAGGCTTCTCCAAGGCAGAGACATTTGATCAGACACTGGGAGGAAGGGAGGCAGTGAGTGTAGCCAAGGAAGAGGAACAAGTGCAAACGCCCTGGGAGCAGGAGTGGATTTGGTGGGGAATAGCTGGAGTGGAGAAAGCAAGGGGAAGGTAGGAGGCCAGGGAGAAGGTGGGACAGGAGGAGGTGAGGCGGGCAGGTGGGTGGCACTAGAGGCCCTGAGCAGAGTGACATGATCTGACTTGTGTCTTCACGGGCACTCTGCTCTGTGGAGGACTGCCTTTAGGGAGGCAGGGGTGGTCATCCAGAGGCAAGGTGATGGCGTGGACGGGCAGTAGTCAGAGGTGGCGAGTGGTGAGGTGCTGCCTGTGCTGAGGGCCCAGCTGCAGTATTGACCATCGGGTAGAAGTGGAGGAGAAGCCACAGGTGGTTCCAAGGTTTAGGCTCGAGTATCGAGAATGGAGGCAGGCCGGTGGATCTGGGAGAGATCATGGGGGAAAGTGAAAAGCTCAGGTTTGCTGGTTCAAGTGCTGAGTGCTGCTGGGGCCATGGATTTCCATGGTGGATCTTGGCCCTGGACTGAAAGCCCAGACGATTTCCTTCCTCCCCACTCACCGCCCTGTCCCTGGGTACTCTCCTGGCAGAGGGTGCTGACCCTAGTTCCAGCAGGCTGCCAACTCTGTCTCTGATGGAGGACCCACCACAACGGCTGCAGTGGCAGGCCCACCTGGAGTTCACCCATAACCACGACGTGGGCGATCTCACCTGGGACAAGATTGCCGCCTCCCTGCCCCGCTCAGAGAAACTCCGCTCCCTGGTTCTGGCCGGCATCCCACACAGCATGAGGCCACAGGTGAGGCCATGGAGGCCAGACCACAAAAGTCCACAGAGGGCTCAGATGTCTCACCAAAGACTGAGTGCTTATCGGCTCCTCCCCTCAGCTGTGGATGCGGCTCTCCGGGGCCCTGCAGAAGAAGAGGAACTCTGAGCTGTCCTACCGGGAGATGGTGAAGAACAGCTCCAATGATGAGACCATTGCTGCCAAACAGGTGAGGGAGGGTGGCACAGGGACCCTTGGGAACTGTGGGTGGTCTTATAGGCAGGCAGTACTCTGCCTGGGGTTACAGGAGTCCCCTTGTTGGTTTCTCTCTGGCAGGGGTGGCCCCGGGGAGAGCATAGCAGCTGCATAGCAGACCTGGTCTGGGCATTCCTTTCACCCACAGATGTGTGCCTGGAGCATTCTGGCTCCCTGCCGAGTTCTCTGTAGACAGCAGAGAGAATTGTCAAAAAGGTCATCTAACTTGGTGCACATTAGGATCACCTAGAGATTTTTTAAATACAGATTTTTCTATGCCTCGTTCCAGAGATTCTCATTCCATAGTTCTGGCCTGAAGCCCAGGAATCTGCTGGGTTTGTTTGTTTTTAAGTTCCCTGGGTGAATCTGGTAGAATCTGCTATAAACACTAGCTGGTGCTAATCCTGAAGAAAGGAGCACAAGGAATCCCCATTCTGAGAGAGAAGTCCGCCTGGGGTGTACTCTGCACAGGCGTCTCCCTGCCTCCCTCCCAGGTCTCAGGGTGTCAACAGTGTGAAGTGTGTGGGCCCACAGGCCTGCAGCTGTATCTCATAGGGTCTTGTTGATGGGGCTGCTGACAGATTGAGAAGGACCTACTCCGCACCATGCCCAGCAACGCCTGCTTTGCCAACGAGAGCAGCATCGGGGTGCCTCGCCTGCGCAGGGTTCTCCGAGCACTGGCCTGGCTCTACCCAGAGATTGGCTACTGCCAGGGCACAGGCATGGTGAGCACAGTCCGGGAAGGGGAGGAGGTGTCCCCAAGGGTGTTCTTGAGGCCCCCAGGGACAGATAATCTCACCATCCAGGGCAGTTGGACAGAAAGCAGAGGTGGAGGTGGGAGTACCCAAGGAGAGCCGTGGCTGCCAAATATGGAGGTTCTAATCCTGAGGAAGTCACGTGGTCTGTGATATGATCCTCAGAGTGGGTCCTACTCTAATTCATGGAGACCTGGGTCGAGGCCCCTTGTCCCCTTGCCCTGGCCAGGTGGCCGCCTGCCTCCTGCTGTTCCTGGAGGAGGAGGACGCCTTCTGGATGATGTGCGCCATCATCGAGGACCTGCTCCCTGCCTCCTACTTCAGTACCACCCTGCTGGGCGTCCAGACAGACCAGCGGGTCCTGCGCCACCTTATTGTCCAGTACCTGCCCCGCTTGGACAAGCTGCTCCAGGAGCATGACATCGGTAAGGGCTGCCCATCCTCTTCCCTGGGGTTGAAGGGTTGGATCGGTCCTGCAGCTCTGACTCAGATACTGTAGACCTGAGGCTTCCTGACAGCCCGCAGGGGACGTGGCAGCTGGCCACCTTGGGGGGAAGGAGCTCCTCTGATGATGACTGATCGTGGACATGGCGCAGTCTTCATTGCTCTTGTTCTCCAGCGCCGTAACCCCCGTCTCCTCCCTCCCCTTGGAGCAGGGCAGGCCTCTTGCTTTTTGGGAGGCACTTTTCACCTCTTCCCCAGCTCCTGTGCCTGGGGGTCCCCTTCTCTCAGACTGTTTCATGGCACTGTCCCTGGTCTGTGTCCACAGAGCTGTCCCTGATCACGCTGCACTGGTTCCTCACGGCCTTTGCCAGTGTGGTGCACATCAAGCTTCTGCTGCGCCTCTGGGACCTGTTCTTCTATGAGGGCTCTCTGGTGCTCTTCCAGACCACGCTGGGCATGCTGCGCCTCAAGGTGCCACTGCAGTCCCGTCCCACCCGGGGCACGCTGCCCAGCTTCCCAGCTGAGGATTAGGAAGGAGTTCATGTGCCAGACGCAGTTGTCTTTGTGCCCCTCCTCCAGGGGATGCAGTAGGGTCCAGGCTTCAGTATTGTGTAGCCTGAGCACTAGCCCCTCCTGAGTCCCT